GGGGGGGGGGGGGTGAATTAAAAGTAAATATTTTTTTGTTTTTATATTTTCTTAATATTTTTGGTTTTTTTGATAAAATGGGGGAAAACAAGCTCAAAAGATAATCAACTTTTCCAACTTAGGTAACTTAAGAAACACCACCAAGAACCCGAAACAAAATGAAAAAGAGAACAAGCACGAGTTGAACATTACACGTATAATAGGCACGTAGACAATATATTACGTAACTTACGCACTTAAGAATAGGAAAAATCAATCAAAGGCCGAGTCGATTCATTTCCTTGACCACGATATGGAGGATTGTCAACTCTCCACATGGCCCGAAGTCATGTAATTCAAGAATTTCATAATGAGGCAAATCAAGAACCACAACTCACCAATCAAGCATGAAAACATACTTCCATTATAGAAAAAGTTTATAAAAGAGCGAATTTTTTTTCATTCTAACTCTCATGCATAATCTATTGATAACTCGGGTTTGAGTTAGTACTTTTTATCCAATTTTAGGCATTTTTTAATATTTTTGGAGTTTAATTTTTAGTAGTTTAGCTTAGTTTTATTTTAATTCTCATTTTTACAATCTTTAATTTTTCTTTCATAAATAGTACTTTTTAATCACTTTTTTTTACAATTTATTTTTTTTCCTAACTCAAGTTATCAGATATATTATTTTTTGGAGAAAAGTGCATTAGAAGACCCGAAATGCAGTTCAAGTTTGAAAAGAAGTGAATGAGTTTGGGTCGCAGCCCAAACCCAATACTAAAAGAGACCAGCCCAGCACCTCTTCCTCCTCGTCTCACGCACTCTCACGCACGGCAAAGGAAAAGAAACGGAGACTTCTTCGCAAGAAGCCAATGCAAGATTGAAGTAACGCACATCTTCTCCAACGTCTCTCCATAAATCTCGTTCAAGCGCTCCAATGGTAAAAAATTGAAGGCCCTTTGCTCCTAATTTCCTATAAATTGAGGGCGAATTGCAACAAGAGCAGGGGGAAGGGCATCACACCAACAGGAAAGTGTGCAGCGGCTTTTGGTCGCTGCAATTGACGCCACCGGAGAAGAGAGCAGACGGCGGCCGACCACGACTCGCCGGCGTTCGACGATGGTCGGCGGTGATAGGTGTGGCAGTTCCTTCAAGCTCCAATTTCTTCAAGTTTTCTTCATCTTCTTCCTCTAATTGGTAACCCTATATGTTATTTCTTCAATTTTTTCTCCATTTCTTTGTAAAAGTGTTGTTTCAATTCAAATTTATACTTTTTTTGCTAGTTGTGTGAATTTCAAAAATTCAAAAATGGTTGGTGTTCTTTTATGGTTTTTTTAATGTTTATATTAAATCCCTTATGAATGAAAATTGATTCTTACTAGTTTCTTCAATTTTTGCGCAAATTAATGTTAAATTGGTTGAATTATAAATTTGATTTCGTAAGTAGGTTGGTATGTCGAATTCAGTTATCATTGAAGCTAATTTAGCTCCATATTTTAGTTAAATGATTCTCGAATTCATACGTGAATCTCTTTTGTGACTTGTGTTTTGTAAAATTTTAAGGTAAATGAACTTCTTAGCCACATAAGTTGAACGTTTTCCTTAAGATTCGTTATAAAGTGATTGTTTATGTCTTGGTGTTCTTGTTTGTTATTTTCATAAAAATTGGGATTGTTTAAGCGCAATAAACAACTCTTGATTTAATGAAAATATGTCATGTTTTTCTTATGTGAATAGATTACAATTCTTATGCTTGAGTAGTTCAAGGAGACCTGCAAAATATTTTCATCATTAGACGTTAAAGTTTATTAAAGTGTATCGAATGTTCTTCATGAATACTTTGTGCATGGGAGTTAGAATGAAAGAAAGATTCGCTCTTTTATAAACCTTTTCATCTTTTGGAATCATTGTTTGAGCGCTTGAGATGAGTGGGGGTTCAAAGTAACCAAAAGCCCTTTGAAATCTTGACTCCGGGCCTTATAGAGAGTTGACGATCCTCTATATGTGGTCAAGGATATGAATCAACTCGAGCCTTTGAGTTCTTTTCTATTTTTAAGTGCGTAAGTTACGTAATATATTGTCTAAGTGCCTATTATACGTGTAATGTTCGTTTTGTGTTCGTTCTCTTTTTTAATTTTGTTTCGAGTTTTTGGCAGTGTTTCTTGGGTTACCTTTGTTGGAGAAGTTGATTATCTTTTGAGCTTGTTTTCCCACATTTTATCAAAAAAAAAACCAAAAAAAATATTTACTTTTCATCCAACAACCACCCCTTTGTGTTGTGTTTAAGTTATATTATAAGTTCTCTGTTTATATAAGTTATATTTATAAGTTTTTATATTTATTTAGTTATAAGTTTTATGCGTCTTATCATACGTGTATTAGTTAGTCTGCTTTTATTTGTTTTATTTTCGTGACAACGTGTTTGCATGCTAATTTGATTACAAAAGTACAAACTTTCTTCGTGGGATCGACCCTTACTTGCCCTAGCTATAGTTTTTATTTGATTATATCTCGGGGGTTAGTTAAGGTTAATTTATAAATTTTTAATTTGTTTTGGACCGCACGACAAGTCCCCAACATCTATTCACAAACCGCCAATACCTTATGCATTTTAATAAACCTTTTCTCCTAATGATGAGCACATTTCATAGATTTCTATGAACTTCTCAAATCAATGACGTTTTTTCTATTCACATAAATGAACACAACATATTTTCAATAAATCAAGAATTGTTTTTGAGCTTAAACAACCTCAAATTAATGAAAACAACAAAAAAAACACATGATAACATAACAATCACTCAATAACGAATTCTAAGGAAATTGAATCATCTTATGGAGCTAAGAAGTCCAAAATCCTTAAAATCAACAAACACAAATCACAACAAAGAATCACGTATGAATCCGGAGTTCATTTAACTACCGTATGGAGCTAAAATAGCTTCAACAAAAACCGAATTCCACATACCAACCTACTTATGACATCAAATTATACAATTCAACCAATTCAACAAAAACTTGCTCAATAATTGAAGAAAAACTAGTTTGAATCAATTCTCATTCATAAGGGATTTAATATAAACATAAAAAAACCAATAAAGAACACCAACCATTTTTGGAATTTTTGAAATTAACACAAACAAGGGAAAAAAATGTAAAAATTAAACTAAAAACAACAACACTTAACAAAGATTTGGAGAACAAATTGGAGAAACATGCTAGGGTTACCACTTTGTTGAAGAAGATGAAGAAATTAAGGGATTGGAGCTTGAAGAAAAGTTGCTGCCCACCATCGTCGTCCGCCGGCGAGCAGTGGTCCGCCGCCGTCTGCTTCCTCCTTTGGTGCGCGGCTTCAATTTCAGATGCCGCTGTTAGTTCTATAATTTTTATTAGATGAGTTGGCATTATTTTTGACAACACACAACCACTAGAATATTGTAGTATAGTGTCCTTGTGTTAGTAGTATTATTGGTCATCCTGCATGACAACCTGTTATAACCAGGAGGCTACGCCGGAAGTGATTAGCTCGAAGAAGGACTCGTGTTCTGTCAAGTAGTCTGCCCATCCAAAGAATCCACTCTAGAATCAACGAATTTGTGCACAAGAGTCCTATAGACTATTGGTTAGGGTTACATCTTATGGAGGTCCAGATCTATAAATATAGGGTCAAGAGTTGGCAGATGTGAGAGAGAAAAAAAAGAGATCAGGCTAAACAGAAAGAGCATACTCATTGTCCATCTGTCACAGAGAAGAGCTTATCATATATATATATATATATATATACACACACACACACACACACACACGTGAGGTTACAATGAGAAGGTCAGCCATGGATCTTCTCTGAGGTTTTGTTCAGCTGGTGAGTCATGAGAGGCTGAGCAAAGGTCAAGAACACATCCTTATTACAGAGCAACAAGGTGTAATAGGCCTGGTGTGACACAAACAGAGTTTCGTGTCTGATCACGTAAGTAGACAAATCTGTTTAATAGAAGGATCTGTTGAGTTTGATTGTGTAATTCTTATGATGATCTAGTGGAAAGGCTATTACACGGATGTGGGCCTCACAGACGTAGGAGAGTTGGCTCCGAATTGCGTAAACAAATCTCCGTGTCTTTACTTGCTTTTGTGTGTTGTTTTGGATTCGTGTTAGAAAAGGTGTTGTAGCATTCTGTGAAACTTAGTTGTTGCGCTTCAACACAATTTCCAACAACATTCTCTCGTGTTAAGTGTGAGTTTATCTGGTTTATATCTTGTGCTGTGGGTGTGGAAATTACAATTGGTATCGGAGCCTGCATAGCTTAATTTACTAGCTACCGATCACATCATGGGAGACATGGAAGAAGGAGCAAATGTTCAGAGACCACCTTTATTGCGTGGGCACAACTACAATTTCTGGAAGGACAGGATGAGGGCCTTTCTCAAATCCCTTGGAGGTGGGGTCTGGAGAAGCGTGGAAACTGGGTGGTCTGAACCACACAAATATTCTGATGATCTGACTACATCAAGAATCAAGCCATTTGAAGAATATAGCAGAACAGAAGCCATTGCTGCTGAGTTTAATGATAAAGCCTTGAATGCAATCTTTGGGGCAGTGGATTCTACTCAGTACAAACTCATCTCAAACTGTGACAATGCCAAGGAAGCTTGGGATATTCTTGAAGTCACACATGAGGGAGACGAGGAAGTAAAGACCGCAAAATATCAAATTCTGATGACCCAATATGAAAATCTGCGCATGGATGAAAAAGAAAAAATCACTGAATTTCATGGGAGAGTCAGGGATATTGCAAATCAGGCTGCACGACTGAATGAATCCATTCCAGAAAATAAGCTGGTACTCAGAGTGCTGAGATCACTTCCTAAAGAATATGAAATGGATGTCAAGGCCATTAAACGTTCCCACAACATCAAAAACATGACTCTCGACGCACTTATGGGCATACTGGACATGGTAGAAGATAGTAAACGTCAGAGACCTGATAAGCAGATAGCATTTCCCAGTACTGAGATAGAAGATGACAGTGAACGTGATTGGTCACTGGATGAAGATTTTCAAGAGCAGCTATCACTCTTTACTCGGGAATTCAAGAAACAATGGGTTCAAAAGAAATCAAATCAAAGACTTGAAGGCACCTCTAAGGGACTCTCACCAAAAGATGCTAAGTACAGAGAAACCAAAAACACAGAAACCTTTAACTACATGAAGAAAAAGGGTCCACAATGCTTTGAATGTGGCGGATATGGGCACATCCAGTATGAGTGTGCAAATAATCTAAAAAAGAAGAGACAAGCCTTCAAAGCAACCTGGAGTGATGAAGAAACTGAAGATCAGAGTGATTACGAAGAATCCAACTGTGCTTTCATTGCAAGTGTTAATCCAGGAGATGAAGAGAGTCTTGAAGAACAACTAGAGGACCTGCAAGAAAAATGGTCAGAACTCCTGATGGTGAACAAAAGGAATATCACAGACAAAAAAAGACTAATTTCAGAAGTTGATGCATTAAAGAAGAGGATTGAAGGACTCACCACGAAAATTGAAGAACTTGAAGGAGAAAAATCGGATCTGTTATTCGAGTTAAATCAACTGAAGTCCTATCAAAAAAGGGATCAAGGTTGCTGGAGCAGAGGTGCTAGATCATCATTCAATCATGGCAAAATCTACTGGAGACACGACATGTATTGGATATACAGACAAAGGAAAGATGCCGAAATCTCTTGAAGTCGAGTTTGTTAAAGCAACTGAAGGAACTACATCTGCTAGCACACATCATGTCAAAAGAGACCATCAAACACTTGCATATAAGAATCCTTACCACCATTACAGATGATTCAACTGCAATAAGTGGGGACACATACAACGTCAGTGTGCCAAAAGATGGAGTAAGCAGAGGACACCAAAAAGGTACAAACAAATCTGGATACCAAAACAATATGCTTCCGTGGCAAACACTTGCTACAGAGTCACTCCAGATCAATGGCTCCTTGACAGCGGATGTTCGCATCATATGACCGGTGACAAAGAAAATCTCATGAACATCAAGGCAAATGAACAAGGAAGTGTTCGATTTGGTGGTGGAGCACAGGGCAAAATAGTTGGCAGTGGCACGCTCAATGTATCTGGACTACCACCTATCAAAAACGTATGGTTGGTCCAAGGCTTATAGGTAAATCTACTCAACATAAGCCAAATATGTGATCAAGGGCTTGAAGTATTTTTTACACAGCAAAAGTGCAGAGTGAGAGACAGAAGCAAACAAGTGGTGCTTGAAGGTGACAGAATAGCAAATAATTGCTATAAATTAATCCCAAATGTACTCTGTTTCTCAGCAAGTGAAAAAGATGCAAAGTTATGGCATTATCGCCTGGGGCATCTGAACTACAAAGATCTTGTAACTCTGTCAAATTCAGGAGCTGTGAGGGGATTACCAAAAATCATCAATAAGGAGGCAGAGATATGCGGGCCTTGCCAAAAGGGAAAGCAGATACGCAAAACCCATCCAGTCAAGACATTTCAATCCACAAAATATCCCTTGGAGCTGCTGCATATAGATCTTTTTGGACCAATGAAGATAGAGAGTATTGGAGGCAAGAGATTCGTACTCATGGTGGTTGATGACTTTACGAGATATACATGGGTATGCTTTCTAAGACATAAGGATGACGCACTATATGCCTTTGCTACACTCTGCAACAAAGTTCAAAACGAGAAACAGTCAAAGATACAAAAAGTCATACGAGTGAGAAGTGATCACGGAGGGGAGTTTGACAGCCAACCTTTCAGCAACTACTGTGACGAACAAGGAATATCACATGAGTTCTCAGCACCAAAAACCCCACAACAAAATGGGGTAGTCGAGAGAAAGAACAGGCATGTGCAGGAAATGGCAAGAACAATGCTTCACACACAACGATTACCAGAGAATCTTTGGGCCGAAGCAGTACACACAGCCTGCTACACAATAAACCGTGTGTACATAAGAAGTGGAACTCAAGCAACCCAATATGAATTATGGAAAGGGCGAACTTCAAACGTGGGACACTTCCACATTTTTGGAGCAAAATGCTTCATTCTTCGAGATCGAGAGCACAGAAGTAAAATTGATGTAAAATGTGATGAAGCGATATTTCTGGGATATTCACCAAACAGCAAAGCCTTCAGAGTATTCAACAAACGCACCAGGACAATCATGGAGTCCATTAATGTCATAGTAGATGACAAAGCACTATGGAAGGATCATTGTGACACAAGAGATGATGACCCATCTGCTGATCAGCAAACTGAGGAAATTTCATCAACATCAGACACAGAAGATCAAACAGATGCAGAACCACAGGCAAGTCAACCAGAAGAAGTCCGAGTGCCCACACACATTCAGAAGACTCATCCTCTAGAAAATGTTGGAGATCCACAGGAAGGTATGCGCACCCGGAAAAAGAAGATTAACTATGTTGAGATGATAAATGCCTTCTACACATCATCAGTCGAACCAAGAAATGTCAAAGAAGCCTTGACAGATGAAGCATGGATAAACGCAATGCAAGAAGAGCTTGCACAGTTTAAAAGAAATCAGGTATGGGAACTGGTGCCAAAACCTGAGGACGTGAACATTATTGGCACGAAGTGGATATTTCGCAACAAAACAGATGAAGACGGAAAAGTGATAAGAAACAAAGCAAGGCTAGTGGCTCAGGGATATACACAGGTTGAGGGAGTTGACTTTGAAGAAACCTTTGCGCCTGTGGCAAGACTTGAATCAATTCGAATACTCATCAGTATGGCATGCGTCTGGAACATGAAACTATATCAAATGGATGTCAAAACAGCCTTCCTAAATGGATATCTTAAAGAAGAGGTATATGTATCCAAACCCAAAGGATTTGAAGATACAACACATCCAACGCATGTATTCAAACTTCGCAAGGCACTCTATGGCCTGAAGCAGGCCCCACGAGCCTGGTATGATAGGCTGACAGCATATTTATGCAAACAAGGGAACACCAAGGGAGGAGTAGACAACACCATGTTCTATATCAGGTACGGTAAGGACATACTGGTAGCTCAGATTTATGTTGATGACATATTGTTTGGTTCAACCTCAGAAATCTATGTTGGGAAATTTGTTGAAGTCATGGAAAAAGAGTTTGAAAAGAGAATGATTAGAGAATTGACTTACTTCTTGGGGCTACAGATCAAGCAGACCAATGATGGAATTTTTATTTCCCAAAATAAATATGCACTGAATATGCTGAAGAAGTTTGATATGAGTGACTGTAAAAGTGCCAGAACACCATGTCCAACACATGAGAAAATAAGCAGGGATGATAGTGGAAAAGACATTGATGCTACCCACTACAGAGGGATCATTGGAAGTCTGCTGTATCTCACTGCCAGCAGACCTGATATATGCTACAGTGTGGGAGTATGTGCGAGATATCAAGCTAAGCCTAAAGAATCGCATATGAAGGCAGTAAAAAGAATATTGAAATATGTTAAGGGCACACATAACATGGGTCTCTGGTATTCTAAAGGTGCTCCAGCACAACTTATGGCATATAGTGATGCAGATTGGGCAGGCAACATTGATGATTGCAAAAGCACTTCAGGGGGATGCTTCTATCTAGCAGGCAATCTAGTAGTGTGGCTTAGTAAAAAGCAGAATTCTGTCTCACTATCTACTGCAGAAGCTGAATACATTGTTGCCGGGAGTTGTTGTGCACAACTTCTGTGGATGAAATCAATGCTAACTGATTATGGAATCCGGCATGATACGATTCCCATTTACTACGACAACACAAGCGCCATAAATATATCCAAAAATCCAGTACTACATTCACGTACTAAGCATATTTATATTAAACACCACTTTATACGTGAGCTAGTGGAAGGAAATATTGTCGCTCTTGAATACATTCCTACTGAGCATCAGTTAGCTGATATATTTACAAAAGCACTTGACGGAGAAAGATTTGAGACTCTCAGATCCAATTTGGGTCTGTGCGCACCATTTCAATAAACCATGAAAAATAAAATTGAGCACAAATTGTCAGCTAATGTGCTCAATTCTCCTAACAACTGCTGAGTTGGAAGAACAGTACTCAAAAATGCTGCCACGCAGTAATGCGCCATACGAAGAGTCACCTGCTCCGTCTCGTAAATACAAGCGCCTTAGTAAGGACCTCGGTATCATCATCCGATTAAAAAGGTCTCTCAAGAGCCCTAATTTCAAATTCTCTCATCTATCAAGCTTGAACAGATCTGAAAAAGTCGAACATGGTGAGAATCAAGCAGGCACTTCCAAAACGATGGAAGGGAAAACCCTCACTCAAAAGGGAACTCTAGGCGAAGCATAGATGGACGCGGCTCCTGGCTGCAAAGGACTCACAGCAACATGATGTCCACTCTGAAACGAAGAAGGTTGAAGATGAAGGAGAAAACCTAACACAAGTCAACCGGGAAGAATCAAACATGGAATTGTTCTCCTACATCCTTTGGCCAAGATTCCAGATACCCTCTACCTACAGTACACAACCACTCATCAAGAAGAGAACATGCAAGGAGAAAAGGAGAAAGATCTGCTGTCAGATAAGAAAATGCTAGAGATTGTGGATGAAGAACCCTTACTAGCATGCTTAGATGTTCCAGTTGAAGGTGTGCAACTCAGAACACCAGCATCCCAGAAAGCAATGGCAAAACGCTCTGGATCTAGATGGTCGTTGCGTCAAAAGGCAAAAGAAGATCAACCAGAAGGGATTTCGAAGAAGCAGAAGAGGTCGCCTCCCTCAGAAAAACTCTCAACCAGAAGTCAGAGCAGCAAGAGGAAAGAAGCACCAGCGAGAAAGACATCCAAACCAGGGAAGTTCTCTAAACACCTTTTTGTCTCATCAAGTGCTAGTTCATTCATGTCTGAGATTGTCAAGAAAACCATATTGCCACAAAGAAGTATTGATGTTGAGGATTTTGAAGCTAAAACAAATTTAATCCCTATGCTGAAACAATGTAATTTGCTCAAATCTATCACCTTGCCTGGATCTTATGTGAGAAAAGTCATTTAAGAATTCTATTGCAACTTGTCTGAGGGTTGCAACACCTACACTGACCCTTCTTACCACAAAGTGTTTGTGAGAGGAAAATCTTTTGATATGTCCCCTACCAAAATCAATCAGTTCCTGTGCATAAAACCCCCTTCCTCTGAAAAGAATGTGAATGAAAGACAAGTCTGGACTGACCTCACCCATGGTGAGCGTATCTCTCAATCCTCCAAGTCCAAAGTCCCTTCCTCCATTCTTAAAAGCTCATATGCCATCTTGTTCAGAGTTGCTGCCTACCACTGGCTCCCAATTACCCATATGAACACAGTTCTTCTTTGTATTGCCACACTCATATACAAAATCAAGAATGGGATACCATTCAATCTGGGGAAAATCAACTTTGATCAAATCATGAGCTCTGCACCAGAAAGGGCCAAACAGAATTGCAATGGTCTTCCTTATCCACTTCTTATTTTTCAAATGCTCAAATCACAGGGACTTGTAGTTGCAGAAGAAGAAGAACCCCCCCCCCTCCTCTACTCCAAGTTGACTTGAGACACTTTAAAGCCAAACATTACAATGACATGGCACCAGTGGAAGATCAGAAGGCAGCTCCAGCAGTTCTTCAGCCAGATTTCTCCAAAACAGCATTCATCAAGGCAGAAATTATGCTACTGCAAGAGCAAATTGAAAAATACAAGGAGCTGATCAAGGAAGCAGAGGTCAAAAAGAAGAACTGGGCCATTGTCCTATCATCTCTGGATATCACTCCTGATGTACGTGCACAAGCTCAGGGGGAGAAGTCCAAAGACAATGCACCTGGAAATGCTACAACACAGGGGGAGCAAAGTGAAGGTGATGAGGGTACTGAGAAAGGAGAGGAAAGCTCAGACACAGGAAAGAATAATCAGGAAGATGAGGAGTCAGATTTCGAAGCTGAACTTCAAAAGTTTGATGCATCTGATGCTTAACTTCTCATTTGAATCACTGGAAAACACTACTACTTTTTTGCTACTCTATGTTTTGGTGGGATTGTTCTATCCCTGATGATATGCTCTAGATTTTCTGATTGTGGATTCATCTATTTTTATTTTGGTTCTTTATGCTATGGATTACTTTGGTTGAAGACTGATTCTGTTTGATTACACTGCACATGGTCTCCTGGTTTTACTCAGGTTTTTGCACAGGTAGGATGACCATTTTTCTGTCTAGGTTGCTCTGTTGTACACACTCTTGCACCCGGTTGTCTAAATATTACTCTTCTCCAGTTTCTTTGAATAATATATATTTTGCCTTTGGCATTTTTTTCCAAATTGTTAGTTCTATAATTTTTATCAGATGACTTGGCATTATTTTTGACAACACACAACCACTAGAATATTGTAGTATAGTGTCCTTGTGTTAGTAGTATTATTGGTCATCCTGCATGACAACCTGTTATAACCAGGAGGCTACGCCGGAAGTGATTAGCTCGAAGAAGGACTCCTGTTCTGTCAAGTAGTCTACCCATCCAAAGACTCCACTCTGGACTCAATGAATTTTTGCGCAAGAGTCCTATAGACTATTGGTTAGGGTTACATCTTATGGAGGTCCAGATCAATAAATATAGGGTCAAGAGTTGGCAGATGTGAGAGAGCAAAAAAAAAGGAGATCAGGCTAAACAGAAAGAGCATACTCATCGTCCATCTGTCACAGAGAAGAGCTTATCATACATACATACATACATACATACATACATACATACATACATACATACATACATACATACATACATACATACATACATACATACATACATACATACATACATACATACATACATACATACATACATACATATATATATATATACACATACACACACACGTGAGGTTACAATGAGAAGGTCAGCCATGGATCTTCTCTGAGGTTTTGTTCAGCTGGTGAATCATGAGAGGCTGAGCAAAGGTCAAGAACACATCCTTATTGCAGAGCAACAAGAAGGTGTAGTAGGCCTGGTGTGACACAAACAGAGTTTCGTGTCTGATCACGTAAGTAGACAAATCTGTTCAATAGAAGGATCTGTTGAGTTTGAGTGTGTAATTCTTTTGATGATCTAGTGGAAAGGCTATTACACGGATGTGGGCCTCGCAGACGTAGGAGAGTTGGCTCCGAACTGCGTAAACAAATCTCTGTGTCTTTACTTGCTTTTGTGTGTTGTTTTGGATTGGTGTTAGAAAAGGTGTTGTAGCATTCTGTGAAACTTAGTTGTTGCGCTACAACACAATTTCCAACAACATTCTCTCGTGTTAAGTGTGAGTTTATCTGGTTTATATACTGTGCTGTGGGTGTGGAAATTACAGCCGCGGCTCTCTGGGTGATATTTCCCCCCTCTTCTGATTGCAATTCCTCTCCCATTTATAGTAAGAGGATTCTTCCCGTTGAAGCGTTTGAGTGAGCGGAGAGTGCCGTTGCTATTGATTGAGGCGAAACTGGCGGAGGAACATTGAGGAAGACAAGCGCTGGTTTACCGCGAAGGAGGAGAAGAAGTTGTCGGTTCAATTCTCTGTTCTTTTTTTTAGTGCGTAAATCTTAAGAGGACATGGCCTGGACTTCTTTATTTGATGATGGGTTTGGGCTCTAGCCCAAAATTAATATCTTCTTTGCAAACTTGAACTGCATTTTCGGCCTTCTGCTATATTTTTCTCCAAAAAATAAAATATCTGATAATTTTGGGTTAGGGAAAATAATAAAATGAAGAAAATAATAAAATTTAAAAAAAATGATTAAAAAGCTACTAAAAGTATTCAAAATGCCAAATAGAGAATAAAAAATGTTAATCCAAACCCGAGTTATCAGTACCACTTGAGTTGGACTCACCCACTCAATGTCTGAAATAGAATATATAATCCCAACTTCTAACATCTTCATCACCTCTACTTTCACGACGTCCATCATAGGAGGATTCAATCTCATTTGAGGTTGTGTGACTGATTTGGCTCCCTCTTCTAAAATAATTTTACGCATACAAATTGAGGGACTGATTCCTTTAATATCTGCAATGCTCGAACCTATAGCCTCTATATACTTTCTCAACACTCTTATCAATTTATGTGCTTGAGTAGAGTTCAACTTATTAGATTTAATTACTGGAAGAGTGTCATTTTCCCCCAAGAACATGTACTTCAAGTGTTGAGGTAATGGCTTAAGCTCGACTGGTGGAGGTTACACTATTGAAGGGAGCAATCTAGTGGTTGAAACTTGTAGATCGATATATGATATTTTTGCTCTCCCCACCTTCTATGGAAATATATATAAGTACTCAATCATCTATAGTATCTCTTATTTTGGTGGTAATTCGAGTGAATTGTATGTTTTACTATCAAGACTATGCTCTAGAACCAAACGAAGAGTGTCGGTGGTTCCAAGCTCTACAACATGCTCTGAGAGAATGTCTATTGCATCAATGGAGAAGACCGCATCATCTTCACTTGGGTAGCGCAAGGCCTCAAAAATGACAAAGTGTATTGCATTTCCATCAAATTCCATGGTTATAATCCATTTAAAACCATCAATTTTTGTCCTCACACTCCTTAAAAATGGTTTCCCTAGCAAGATGGGAATTGGTTTGAGTTTCAACAAGTTCTCCTCCATTTTAAGAACATAAAAATCTGTTGGAAATATGAGATTTTCAATCTCCACTAAAACATCCTCAACTAAACCTTTAGGATATACGTTAGATCGATCAACCAATTTTATAACAACACTAGTTTCATTCAAAGTGCCAATATTTAAATATACAAAAATTTAGTAAGGCATAACATTAATAGATTCACCAAGATCCCAAAAAGCCCTCTCAAATTTCTTCCCTCCAATAGTACAAGGAATCAAAAATGAACCTTTATCCTTACAGTTAATATTCCATCATCTCCGATGGAGCTAAAATCTCACCATTTTTTGGCTTTGGGGTGTGATGGAATAAATCAAAATGGATCTCTAAACTGTCTGCGCTTCTTTAATTAATGAAGTAGCAGTTAGTCAAGCAATGCAGCTTTCGACGTTGAGCCGGGGGTCTCTTTGGAAACAGCCTCTCTACTTTCGAGTAGGGGCAAGGTCTGCGTACACACACCCTCCCCAGACCCTACTCTTGTGGGATTTAACTGGGTTGTTTTTGTTGTTGTTGTATCCTTGCACTTAATAGGAAGCTTCCTTTGAGGTATAGCAGAAACATTTTTGCTCAAACATAGACTTTTAGTCCCTTTCAATCTCCTCTTGTTTGTGCAAAGTTCCTTTAAAAACATGGCATATCGTGTAACACCCCAATCCGTCCAGGTCTGCAGCCCCTTTCGGACTAAAGTATAAACTTGGTATTCGTAAACATTCAAAAGATTTAGAGCATTTTAAAACTTTATTTCATAATACATTATTCAGAATAATAGCGGAGTAATTTAATGTTGCGGAAGCTGAATAAATAACAGTTACAAAACATAATAATATTATGTCTTTTTAAACTTTAATTCATTTCACACATCCACTTTGACCATCTCGCCCCGTCTGCCGCAAGGATTCCATCACATCATTCTTTTTGTTTACCTGCGTGTAGCAAATAAAACATACTGTAACACCCAAATCCGTCCAGGTCTGCAGTCCTTTCGGACTAAAGTATTGATTTGGTAATCGTGATAATTTAAAACATTTCAAACATTTTTATTTATAAATAAATATTATTCCATACATAATTGTAGAGAAATACGAAGTGTTTAAATAAAATGCGGAAGCAACTTTAAAATATGTCTCATAACAACATAATTATTTATTTCATTCAATAATCCACCACGACTGTCTCGCCCCTTCTGCCGCCAGGAATCAGCCAATCATTCATTCTGCCTACCTGCGTGTAGCAAATAAAACACACTACACGCTCAGCGGTGAAGCTGAGTAAGCATATCTAAAGCGTCGAACATCCACATAAATTGAATCTCGATTCATAATCAACCATTTGATATCATGCACACAATATATAATTCAAACATTCATGATATTCTCAATATTTTATTCCAAGTCATTTGATATTCAATATCTCAACAATGCTCTTAAATTATTCTTAATCTAAGGCCAAATCATTTTATAACAANTCTAACCAGGCCCTTAAACTATAAATAGTTTAATGCAGAACACAAGAATCGATAATCCACCCTATGAGTCATGTGGATTACGTATGTGGAAGTTCTAACCGATAGGCTACTGGGCCCACACGTTTAATAATTCGATAGGGTCCAATATATCTCGGACTTAGTTTTCCCTTCCTACCGAAACGTAACACTTTCTTTCACGATGAGACTTTCAGAAACACTTTGTCATCAACATTGTATTCGATCTCACGACGTTTCAAGTCAGCATATGATTTTTGACGATCGGAAGCCACTTGCAGTCTTTCTCTGATTAGACGAACCTTTTCTTCAGTTTCACGGACAAGATCAGGTCCTTCAAGCCTTTTCTCACTTAATTCTGTCCAGCATACTGGGGTTCTACAACGTCTCCCATACAATGCTTTGTACGGGGCCATTTGGATACTCGCTTGGTATTGTTCCCAGTTGCTTCCGAAATCAATTACACATGCTCTCATCATATCTTCAAGAATTTGAATTGTCCTTTCAGATTCTTCGTCTGTTTGAGGATGAAATGTCGTACTAAAGTTAAGTTTAGTACCTAAGGCTTTCTGCAAACTCTTCTAGAATTGCGACGTGAATCGCGGGCCACGATCAGAAATGATAGACAAGGACACACCATGTAATCTTACGATTTCACGGATGTACAATTCTGCCTATTTCTTCAAAGACATATCACGTCGAATTGGGATAAAATGAGATGACTTGGTTAATCGGTCAACGATTACCCAGACAACATCATTCTTCTTGGTTGATTATGGAAGTTCGATCACGAAGTCCATCGTAATTTGTTCCCACTTCCATTCAGGGATAGTAGGTGGATGTAACAATCCACTTGGCACTTGGTTTTCAGTGACTTGTTGACATGTCAGACATTGCGTAGTGAATTCAGAAATTTCCCGCTTCATTGTGGGCCACCAATATGTCTTTCTTAGATCTTAGAACATTTTATTACTGCCAGGATGCATGGTATATGTGGTTTCATGAGATTCACGCATTAAACGTTCTCTCATTTCGCCACTAGGAACTACCAAACGATTCCGGTAGAATAAAATTCCATCATTTACAGTGAAATCTTGTCTCTCCCCCTTAGAGACAAGTTTACAAGTCTTCAAACAGTACTCATCACATTTTTGTGGAACGTGAATTTCGTTCTCAAGAGTAGGCTGAATTCGGAGTTCGGCTATCATCTTTCGGCTCAATGCGTCAGCAACTACGTTAGCCTTGCCAGGATGATAGTCGATGTAACAGTCGTAGTCTTTGATCAATTCCAACCATCTTCTTTGTCTCGGGTTTAACTCTTTTTGAGTTAGCAAGTATTTTAGACTTTTGTGGTCTGTGTGAATATATGTCGTCTCTCCAAAGAGATAATGACGCCATATTTTCAGAGCAAATACAACTGCTGCTAACTCAAGATCGTGAGTTGGATAGTTACATTCGTGAGGCTTTAACTGCCTTGATGCGTATGCCACAACCTTGCCGTCTTGCATGAGTACACATCCCAAGCCATTATGAGATGCGTCACTAAAGATTGTGTAGTCTACACCTGGTATTGGTTGTGTCAGTACATGTGCTTCAGTCAGACACTTCTTTAGTTTCTCAAAGCTTTGCTGACAAGCATCGGTCCATACGAATTTCACATCTTTTCTTAGAAGTTTGTTAAGTGGAGTTGCTATCGAGGAAAAGCCTTCAATAAATCGTCGAAAGTATCCAGCTAATCCCAGAAAGCTTCTCACTTCACGAATATTCCTTGGAACCTTCCACTCGGTGATGGTAGATATTTTACTAGGGTCTACTTTAATACCTTCTTTAGAAATCACATGTCACAAAAACGTAACTTCATCAAGCCAGAATTCACAATTTGACAGTTTGGCATACAGCTTATGTTCTCGTAGTACGCTGAGTACTATCTCCAAATGTTTCGCATGATCTTCTCGATTCTTCGAATAGACAAGAATATCATCGATGAATACAACCACGAATTGATCAAGATAAGGTCGGAATACACTATTCATGAGATCCATGAATACTACAGGAGCATTGGTCAAACCAAAGGGCATTACCGTAAACTCGTAATGACCATAACGAGTACGGAACGCAGTCTTTGGGATGTCCTCTTTCTTTACAGGGATTTGATGGTATCCTGACCGTAAGTCAATCTTAGAGAATACGGTAGATCCTCTAAGTTGATCAAATAAGTCATCGATATGAGGTAAAGGATATCGATTTTTTATTGTGACTTTGTTCAATTGACGATAATCGATGCAGAGTCTCATCGAACCGTCTTTCTTTTTGACAAACAGAACGGGTGCTCCCCAAGGGGAAACACTCGGTCGTATGAATCCTTTATCGAGCAACTCTTGTAGTTGAGCCTTCAACTCTTTCATCTCAGCAGGAGCCATGCGATAGGGAGTTGCAGATATCGGTCCTGTTCTAGGAACAAGATCGATGGAAAATTCTACTTCTCTAGAAGATGGTATACCAGGAAGTTCGTCAGGAAATATGTCAGGAAAATCACATACTGTTGATATGTCCTTTAATTCAGAAGTTTCCTTTCGTGTGTCACGTACATTACATAGATAAGCCTCACATTTCTTTCGAATGAGATGTCTCGCGTGTTTGTACGAGATGAACTCAGTCAGTTTAGGAATTAACTTTTCTTTCACCTCAATAGACTTCCCCTCCCCAGACTTTAGTTGAATCGTTTGTTGTCGGCAATCGATAACTGCTCGATATTTGGTGAGCCAATCCATTCTGAGGATGATGTCAAATTCTTTGTACGGTAATTCAACAAGATTGGCAGAGAACTGATGTCCTTCAACAATCAATGGACAGTCTTGATACACATGATCTAACCTCATACTATGTCCTAACAGATTAGATACTAGTATAGGTTGTTCTAAATTTTCTTTCATTACATCAGCTTTGTCAAGCATAGGCACGCAGATATAAGATAACGTTGATCCAGGGTCTATCAACACATGCATGACAGAATCAAACAAGGAAAACATACCCACATGTATTGCACAATGGGTGTTTCCACCCTTTTGATTTGTTCTCCGACGCCACAGAGTGCGTCTGCACCGATTTCCCCTTTTTTGAGAAGTGTGGATTGCCAGATTCCTGGAAGGGCCTTTTTCCTTTTGAGATAGAGCTGATGGGACGGTGAGTGCTTGAACTGACATTATTTATCTTCAGATACTCAATGCAAGCACTCAAGTCGCTGTCTATCCTGGCTATGAGATCGTAGGCCTCCGCGAAATCCACGGTGGTTAGGACGGACACACGCGACCTGAGGTTAGGTCAAAGTTTCTTCCTGAACTCCTCGATGCGATCGGTTGGGGTACTCACCAAGGTTGCTGCAAACTTAGCAAGACTGGTAAACTTCTGACGATACTCGGGGAGTGTCATGTCTCCCTGTTGCAATTCGAAAAATTCTTTACGTCTTTCTTTGCTAAAACGTTTTGCAATATATTCTTGCTGGAATGTCCATTCGAAATGTGCCCATGTCCATGGCTTAGGGGTTCCTGCACTCTCATCGGTCCTCTTACACCACTCGTAGGCTTCCTTGCGAAGCAGCTGAGACGCCAGTCGGGGATAGTTGCCAATGGGTACGTTAAGATCCTCCAACACTCGAGCAATCTGCTCGATCCAGTCCCATGCAATTTGGGGTTCACCGATGCAATCCCCAAGAAATAATTCTGCACCGTTATCCCTTAATGTTTTGTAGCTTATCACTCGCGGTGGCGATGGTGGAAGTGGTTGAAACATTGGTGCATTGGCTATCTGTTGTAATACATTTGCCAGGAATGTGGGAATCACAAGGTCGGGTTGACCATCAGCGTTCGGGTTATTCCCAACATTTTGTTGATTGACGGGTTCATTTTGGACGGGAGCGGTAAAGCTAGATGCTTCAGTATGAACACTGACGTATTCATTATTGTTGCCTTGTCCGTGGGCAGATTCTTGACTCATTCTACAATAACAGAAATTCCTTTATTAGGATTCTTTTATTCAGTAATTGAGTTTAAGACACGAATTACAAAGGATTACAACAGTTGATACAATCAATGGATTTGATACAATTCAATTGGTTTGGATCGTGACGAATCTACAGACGGGTCTTCTTTGCCCGACCCACATACGCTACTGGCAGAGTCTACGCTGAACGTCTCTTCTGGGTCATCTCTTTCCCATGCAGCCTTGCGGCGCAGATAAATCCTTCGTTTCATTATTCTTGCGAATCGATGTGCACGTTGGTAACGTATCAACGAGTCATAGACATTTCGTTTGTTCTTTCGTCTTTTACCAAGTACGAAAGTGCGACTTGAATCAACACTTGATATCATTTCCGAATTAACAATAGACATCTATAAAATTTGATACAGTCAATTTCAATACTCATTTTTTTATTACCTTCCTGGAGCAGAGGGATGCGAGAGTCGTGGATTTGATTGACATCATTTTTTAGGCCGAAATACATATATAATATGTAAAATATTTTTTTTATCCAAGTTTTGATCCGAAGATCGGGTTTAAAACAATTTGCTCCGATACCAAATTGTAACACCCTAATCCGTCCAGGTCTGCAGCCCCTTTCGGACTAAAGTATTGATTTGGTAATCGTGATAATTTAAAACATTTCAAACATTTTTATTTATAAATAAATAATATTCCATACATAATTGTAGAGATATACGGAGTGTTTAAATAAAATGCGGAAGCAACTTTAAAATATGTCTCATAACAACATAATTATTTATTTCATTCAATAATCCACCACGACTGTCTCGCCCCTTCTGCCGCCAGGAATCAGCCAATCATTCATTCTGCCTACCTGCGTGTAGCAAATAAAACACACTACACGCTCAGCAGTGAAGCTGAGTAAGCATATCTAAAGCGTCGAACATCCACATAAATTGAATCTCGATTCATAATCAACCATTTGATATCATGCACACAATATATAATTCAAACATTCATGATATTCTCAATATTTTATTCCAAGTCATTTGATATTCAATATCTCAACAATGCTCTTAAATTATTCTTAATCTAAGGCCAAATCATTTTATAACAACTCTTAGCTATTCCTAGTCTAAGGCAACATTTCTAACTAGGCCCTTAAACTATAAATAGTTTAATGCAGAACACAAGAATCGATAATCCACCCTATGAGTCATGTGGATTACGTACCAACCGAACACTGAACTGTTGGGTGGGTGATATCCGTTCTGGATCCCGTACGTACGTTTTAACCCCGAAATATGAATTGGTCAAGGAGGTATATCTTAGAGTTCTTCTAGATATCCTTAATAATCATCGTCATTATACAAGTGGGTATATCTTAGAGTTCTTCTAGATATCCTTAACAATATACATCATTTTCATAATCATCATTATATCAATTTTTAATCATGATTTAATCAATAATCATACTAATCAGTAGGTTAATCATTCATAATTGGCCACAATAATAGCTCATCATAATGATCATTCAGCATAACATTTAATAATAATTAGCGGCCTAGTCTCGAGTGTTAACACCCAAACTTACCGTCATGCATCACATAAGATTTTAATTTATTAAAAGCATCATTTTTATTGTGAAAAATCATTTTTATAATGATCATAATCAATTGGTATCAAAAATAGGATTTTAGAACTCAAAAATAGCATTTTTTCGTAGTTGACTGTCTTCGGAATGGTCGACCGTTTCAAGTGACGGTCGACCGTCGTTGCCTCCGTTGTACTGAAGCCACTGGTCCGGTAACGGTACGGTCGACCGTTGCTGCCTTACAGCAACAGTACTTCGTCTTCAACCTCGGGTCCAATTTTCGAAACATCATTTTAAGTCACCAAACTTCAATTAAAGTATATAGAAATGTTCCTCAATGTACATAGATCATTTTAATACCATTAATTCGAAGTTTTAACAACAATTTCAAGGTTTATGATTTTTGGTTCTTCAAACATGTCAAACACAAAACTCAACCAAATGACCATTTATGAACGTAGAAACGACCTATATGAACATTCTAGTCATTAGATATATCTACGGGCTTACTTTAATGTTAAACGATGATTCCGGCGAAAAGACGGCGAAACTTCCGGCGACCTCTCTCTGAAATGGAAACACCAGCAAACTCTCCTCACTCAGGGCAGCAGATTAGAGAGAATTTTGGGATGATTTGGTGAAGAATTGAGGGAATAAGGATTTCTTAAATAGAGGAAGGAAGGAGAAGAAGACATGGTTGAAATATTCCTGAGTCACCAAAATCAGATAGTGCGTCGTTTGTACACTGAGCGCCGATTGGAGTGTAGTCCCTGATTGGAACTAATTTCTGGTCCCAATTGGGGTACACTTTCTGGTCCAACTTTCTGATTGAAATCCGATTGAAACGTTGGGCTCAGACAGTCAAACTCTACACAACGATAAAATTTTCATTATTTATTGACAAACTTTATAAATCACTTATTTTTGGATCCTTCTCAGTAATTAATTAATTATCAATTAATTAATCTTGATAGGCCTAATTTCGGGGCGTTACACATACTACACGCATAGCGTTGAAGCTGAGTAGGCATATCTAATGCATCGAACATCCATATAAATTGAATCTCAATTCATAATTAACCATTTGATATCATGCACACAATACATATTTCAAGCATACATTATTCATGATATTCACAATATTTTATTTTAAGTCATTTCATGATATATTCAATATTCAATATTTCATCAGTGCTCATAAATTATTCTTAATCTAAGGCCAAATCATTTTTATACAAGCTCTTAGCTATTCCTAGTNTGAGTAGGCATATCTAATGCATCGAACATCCATATAAATTGAATCTCAATTCATAATTAACCATTTGATATCATGCACACAATACATATTTCAAGCATACATTATTCATGATATTCACAATATTTTATTTTAAGTCATTTCATGATATATTCAATATTCAATATTTCATCAGTGCTCATAAATTATTCTTAATCTAAGGCCAAATCATTTTTATACAAGCTCTTAGCTATTCCTAGTCTAAGGCAATATTTCTAACCAGGCTCTTAAACTATAAATAGTCTAAGGCAGAACACAAGAATCAATAATCCACCCTATAAGTAATGTGGATTACGTACCAACCGAACAGTGAACTGTAGGGCGGGTGATATCCGGTCTGAATCACGTATGTACGTGTTAACCCCATATTTCTGGGTTGGTCACTTAGGTATATCTTAGAGTTCTTCTAGATATCCTTAATAGTCAACATCAATTTTCCAAATGGGTATATCTTAGAGTTTTTCTAGATATCAATACACATTATTTTAATAATCATCAATATATATTTTTTTAATCAAATATTCATAATTTTCATTTTAATCAGACTAGTCACCAAGTTAATCATTATCATAATCATCAATCAATAATAATCATCATAATGTTCAATAACAAATAGCGGCCTAGCGTCGAGTGTTAACACCATAGCTTACCGTCATACATCACATAAAATTTTATTTGTCAAAACATCATTTTTATTTTTATAGCAATTATTATTTTTTGATATTGATCATAATTGATTGGTATAAAAAATAGGATTTTATAGCTTCAAAAATAGCATTTTCGGACTTAAAAATGATCATAACGGTCGACCGTTGAGTTTGAACGGTCATTCGTTCCGTTCAAAAAAAATGCAGGAAATTGAAGGTTTACTATTCATCATCTTCAACCTCCAACCCATTTTTTGTCACCAAACTTCAATTAAACTATATAGAAATGTTCTCCAAGGTTCGTAGATCATTTTAGAGGCATCAATTCGAAGTTTTAACAACAAATTCAAGGTTTATGTTTCTTGGTTCCTCAAATATGTCAAATACAAAACTCAACCAAACAACCATTTATGAACGTAGAAACGATCTATACGAACATTCTAGTCACTAGATATATCTACGGGCTTACTTCAAAGTGAAACGATGATTCCGGTGGAAAAACGGTGAAATCTCCGGCGTACACCACGGCTTGCTCCGGCGACTTCACACTAAATTGACAACACTACTTTACTCTCTATACTCACACCTTTGTTTTGGAAGAAGAATAGTGAAGAATGGTAAGGATTTGAGGGTTTATATAGTGGTGAGGAGAGGAAGAAGACATGGCCGGATGACCTCCTCTTCCACTGTTTGTTCGGCGGTAGTGGGAGGGGTGACGGATTTTTTTAATTCCCTACGCAAGTCCGTGATTGGGACTAATTTGGTCTTAATTGGGGTACACTTTTTTGTCCAACTTTCTCCGAATTAAAATCCGATTGAACCGTTGCGGTCAGAAACTCAAACTCTACACAACAGTATAATTTTTATATTTATTTGAAATACTTTTTCCGACAGTGTATTTTTGGGTGTTGACTTTGACAGAGTCAAAATTGAGTTAATTGATATATAATTAAAATTACTCTCATATTCAATCAATATTCTTAAATATAAATATTTATTTCAATAAATCATTTTACAAAAGTTCACATCTTTGACTATTTCTCATTTTTATACAAATTACATATTTAAAATGTCATAACTGAAAATATGTACATCAGATTTATTTATAAAATATACCATTGGTTTCGTCTCTTCGAGACCTATCCATAAAAGTGAATCTTTAAAAAAATCATTGACTCTAAAAGTTCCTTCTGTAACGTCCCAAAATATACCCTAGAATTATTAATAGATAATAATCCAATTAATCAAATTTAATTTGATTAAAATGAATTATTGTTGTGCTTTAGGCCGAAATAATATGTGTTTAATATCCAATATTACAATCAGGATAAGTCTCATAGAGATAAATCAAAAATGTTGACTAATTGTGTGATCTTGATTGGGAACCTATGTACAGACCCAAGTTAAGAATAAATGAAGAAAAATGTTTATGATGTAAACTTTGAAATTATTGTTGGACAATGTGCTATCATGAATATGTATTTTTGCATTGTCCTTTGCCCATTGTTTTTTAGGTTTTGATAATGACAAAAGGGTGACAAAACATCATCATCATATTGTGCATCAAGGCTAAGAATCAAAGCTACAACAAGTTCATATCCGTTCGTGAAGAAGGGACTTGAGCATCGGTGGAAGGAACGAGACCGAAGAGGTTGTTTCGTTAGTTGGGTAGTGTTTTTGGTCCTAGATTATGTGTTAAAGAGTATGGCATCTCTAAGGTTCATTCCCTTATCATCTTACCTTTAAAACTCATTTTAGATCAGCCTTTGTGTGGGGAAGTTGCCTTTCTATTTGAATAATCTTTAGTTTATTCGAATAAGTCGTGATCTTTCATGTGACTGAAATTAACCTGTTTTATTCGAATAAATCACCATTTATTCGAATAAGTCCTGGCTTTTCACCCTGATTTACTCGAATAAATCACCATTTATTCGAATAGGAACTGGTTTTTCAAGCCACGCGATTGATCCAAACTATTCGAATAGTTCTTGAGTTATTCGGATAAGTCGACAGTTTCAACTACCAAACGGCTAGTTTTTTGAATTCTTTTCATCTTTATCCACTCCCTAACTTCTATAAACAACCCTCTTCGTGATTATCTTGAAGAGAACACTTAGAACACTTTGAAGAACATATCCTTTGAATATCCAAAGAGATTCTACTCAATCCCCTCCTTATATCCAAGCAAGGCAATTGTTTTGATTGCTAAATCATTTCTTGCTTGAGTTTTTCCTCATTGCTTGAGTCTTTGAGAGATATTGCCATATTCTAAAGGACTTCATTGTATTTGCAACAATCTACTCCGTGTTGGGAGAATTACTCGGTTGCGGTTTGTTTTCTTACTTTATTGTAAGGGATTTGTATTCTTGGTGTTGGGATTACACCAAGTGGTAGAAATCCTAACGGTTTGTGAAATCAAACGTTAGGTGGAAGAAATCCTGAGTTTTGTGAAATCAAAACTTCGGTGGTAAGATAAGAGGCTTGTGAAATCAAGTTCTCGAGTTGTATTCGGATTGTCAAACTCCGTTAAGTTTGACGGGTTAGTGAAGGCCTGGGCACGATTGCTTCGGGGACTGGATGTAGGCATTTAGGCCGAACCAGTATATATCGTGTGTGCATTGCTCTTATCCTTCACTTTA